TAAGTAAGAAGAGTAGTAGTAGTAGTAGTAGTAGTAGTAGTAGTAGTAGAGTAGTAGTAGTAGATGTAGAGAGAGAGAGAGAGAGAGAGAGAGAGAGAGAGTACTGGAAAATAGAGATGACAATGGCTTTAAAATACTGGAGAAGGGTCTGTTCAAAGGGATTCCTTTAGGTTCATAGAGAGAGAGAGAGAGAGTTTTGAAATTGTCTTTTAGGCTTGAAAGTTATGTCACATGCAGGGAAGGAAGCGTATGATTCTTTGAAGTTATACAAGTTCCACACAAAATAAAAATGAGCAAGTTAATTTTGGTAATTTACATAGTAGAGCAGAGTTTTGTTGAAAATGTATGGAGGTGTCAAGCCTATGATTCTTTCCTTTTGGCTTTTCATGACAAGCATGCAAGCTTGCTCACATGTTTTACCCGTGTGGGTTGTATTTGATGAGAGAAATGCTTGTCAAAAATAACTTTACCTTCTTTGGCCTTAATGCTTGTTTTTGGGTGTGGTTTGCATAAGGTTGTAACCTTAAATAATCAAAGTAAGGTGTATCTCTAAACTTTATTAAGAGATGCAATTTTGATGTTGAAATTCTTACGATGGTGCGAGAATCCATTTTCATCTGTAAGTATAAAATTTTAAACTCTAAAAGTAGTTCAAGTCAAGTAGATCTAAAAATGCATGAAAATCTTGAAAATGGATGGTCTAAGATAATGTGTTGTAAAAATGTCATTTTTAGGATTTGAAATATTTTGTTTTCTCCATATTTATACATCTTAATGTGGAGATGATTAGGTAGATGTTTTTCAAACATTAAGACAACCTTTTGTTTTGTTGGGGTGAGGTTTTTATAAGGTGCTATCCATTTACTTTAGAAGTAAGGCCCACCTCTTAATTTTGTCTAGAGATGTAGTTCAGTGTTTTAAACCTGGGTGGATTTGTTTAACTTCAAAGTTTGTAGATCTTCTCATCATCACAATTAAAAAATAAAAAATAAATAAATAAAAAAAAGGAAGAAGAGAGAAGACATTTGAGTTTTTAGATTGACAAATCTAGACACCTATAAAATGGATGGTCACCTACATCAAGATCAGAAAAGGTATGTCAAGTTATTTTTTTTCTGGTGCTTCTTTTTTCGGCTTCTTCTTTGGGGCCTAGAGGATCTGGAATAAAATTGGGGAAAGCAGCCCAATTTATCTCAAATGATATTTTTTTCTCATTGGTAAAAGTGATAAATGATTATTCTTTGTGGTCAGCATTGAGCACGTCGTATCTGTCATGACTACTTACAATTGGGAAGCGTTAGCATGAGGGTCCTGTGATGGCCCCCATTGAAGGCCATATTTTTTATGGATTGAGGATCTGAAAATTATTTAATTTTGTATGATTATTTTTGCCGTATCAGGATGGCTGATCAAGATATATGTAGTTGATCTCAAATAGTTGGAAAAAAGTTATGATGATGATGATATCCATTTTGTTATAGAAACAATGAAGTTGGAGCTCTTAAGGTGGTGCAAAACTAGGAGATTTAGGGTCCAAGGGACAACATAAATCACAATTCGAGATGACATCCAAGATAGAGCATTTAATTTTTTAGAGTATGGGCTTCAACATTGATCGTTACTTATTTATTTATTAATGTTAAATCATTTATTTATTAATGTTAAATCAAGGAGGGCAACTATGCAATGGGGTAGTCAACTGGGTCTGTCGTGGTTGGTTCGACAGGTCCTCTCCAAGATGGGAGTTGGCGGAGCTCACTTGACCGAAGGGACAGGTGGGCTCGGACCTAAAGCGGAAGGCAATGCGTGAGCTGGCTTCACCATTGACTTTTTTTATTTGTAATTTCACAATAATATTTGGGATCTTTATAATGTCCATATGAGCATAATAAGAACATGAAGTTATCACCTCCCAATCATTGGTTTGGTGATGGAGAAAGCAGACCCACCAAACAGGTCCCTATATTGAGTAGTAGATCCCATATCCCTCCATCGTTCAAACTATAAATTTACCGGTGATCGACTGCACTGAATTTGTGATTTGTCATTATCACCAAAGATCATACTATAAAGAGAAAATTATCGAAATATACCGAACTTTTCAATAATTTAACAGTTGACCCTTTTCAAATACTCCAACTCATGCGTATTTTGACGGGTATCTTAAAATTAAATCAAACAGATAAAGGATAAAAATGTTAAATAGTTGAACTCTCTCATTCGGTGAATTTTCCTATTAATAATTTCTAAAAATACTTTTTACTCTACTTAAAGCAAAGGACAATGTGCATTTGCTCTCTACGATACCTTGAAACAAGAGTGTATTTAGGACCCAATTGTCTTATAACCATTCAATTTTTGGGCTGAGTTTCTAGAATTCAAAATCATTTCCACCTTATATATAAGTAAGGTGCACCTTTAAATTCTATCGAAAGATTCGAAGATGTAGTACTGCATCAAACACCTTGCAATAGCTTGAAAATCCATGATCACCTTTAATTATGAAATTTAAAATATTAAAAATAGTACAGATCGAGCATATCTGTAAATACTTAAAGTCTTGAACATAAACCGTCCAGATAATTTGTTAAAGATTCACTACTGAATTTCTTTATTTTTTTTATGTCTATATATTTTAAGGTCACAATTGGAACGTTTATAAATTTCGTGACAGTCTTTTTTACTGGATTTTTGAGGTGAACTTTATTTATTTCTATTACATTATTAAACAATAGTTAATGGGTGGACACGTATCGCAAAAATAAGGGGTTTATCTGTAGGGTGCATAACTTCTAAATTTTAAAAAACTTAGGTACTTAACCCTATCTTTAAAGGAGAGAGATGTGTGTGTGAGAGAGAGTACTTAGGAAGAGATAAAGGAAAAATAACCAATTTTGTTTTGAACTATCATCTCTATACATAATAATTATGGACCATTATGCATGTAAACTATATCTATGGGATTTTATTCTCTCTCCTCTCATTTATTCTTTTTCTCTCCCCCTACATAGTATCTCTCTCCTCTCATTTATTTTGTTTCTCTCCCTGAACGTAGTATCTCTTTTAATGATCTATCTCTTATGTTTTTAGCTCTCTTATTTATTAATTAATTAGATATGAATGAAAATTATATTTATGGAGATTTTATTGTCTCTCTTCTTAGATAAGTGTGTGTATATTTTACGGAAAGAGCGAGCAATTTATATCACATCTATATCTTAAAATCTATCCTTACTATTTCCTCACTTAAAATATCTCTCTCTAAGAGAGAGATTTTATATCTTAATTAGGTTTAGAAGTCTTATAAATATGTTAAGAAAATTTCATGTGCCCCACTCTCTCTCACAATGTGATTTCTCTCTGCATCTTCTATATATAATTGCTTTCTCCCTTTTTCTCTCTTCTTTTTATGTGATCTCTCTCCCTCAACGTGGTTTCTTTCTTTCAACGTGGTCTGTCTTTTACCTAATTTTGGACGTTTCTGTTAACACGTATGGCCATGAGGCCTCACGTGATTTAGCCTACAATTGTGGGCTTCGATGATTCAAATATTCTGATTTGTTGTGGCATATAAGGCATAGTGGTATGTCTTTTAATACCATATTATTGACAATAAGTATTGAAAGTAGAGATGCCGAGTTCTTAGAAGATTTTATTGAAAAAACCTACATGTAGTGGCTAATGATAATCCACTTAATAGCATACATGACTTAGAACCACTACTTATAGTGAATATAGATAGCCATGATCAACATGATGATGTTGAAGTATTCACACATCCAATGTTAAGCGGTCAAAAGAGGTTTAGAGTTTATCTATCATATCTTGATGATTTCTATGCCTATATGAATGAGGAGATGGACAACCTTGATGATTTCTATGTCTATATGAATAAGGAGATAGACAACTTTGATGATTTCTATGTCTATGTGAATGAGGAGATAGACATATTTATTGACCCAGATGAAATCCATGACCCGTTTGACTTCAATGATGTTACGAAGTCGCAAGAATATAAAGAATGACTTAATGCCATGAGAGAAGAATTAGATTCTATTGAAAAAAATAAGGTTTGTGATCTATGTGATTTGCCATAAATAGGAAACCTATAAGTTCTAAATGGGTATTTAAAAAGAAATTGAAATATGATGGATCAATTAATAAATTTAAACCTAGGTTAGTAGCAAAGGGTTTTACCCAAAGAAAGGGAGTCGACTATGTCGACACTTATTCCCTTACAACGTTTATTTCCATTAGAATAATTTTGACAATTGTTGCATATTATCACCTAGAACTTACCAAATAGATTTAAAGACTATATTCTTGAATGATGAACTAAAGGAAACCATTTATATGAAACAACCTGAGGGCTTTATAATTAAAGGCCAAGAAAATAAAGTATACAAAATTAAATAAGTCTTTATATGGTTTAAAATAATCTTCAAGACAATGGTACTTAACATTTCTTGATGTCATCCTATAGATGGGACATGAAGTAAATATATTGGACAATTGTGTATATGTCTTGAAGAGTGGGAGTAAATTCACAATACTCTTATTATATGTAGATGATATCCTAATAGCTGAAAATGAATTAGAAATGATTGATAAAACTAAGTCATGACTTTCTTTTCGGTTTGAGATGAAAGATACGGGAGAAGCATCTTATTTCCTATGCATAAAAATAACTAGAGATAGAAAATAAAAAATGTTGTGCTTGAGCCAAAAGAGATATCTTGACTCTGTTATTAAAAGTTTTCAAATGGAAAATAGGAAACCATTGTCTACTCTTGTTGAAAAGGGAGTAAAGTTGTCTAGGAAGGATTGTCCAGTAGAAGGACAATAAAATCCTAACGTTCCCTATGCACAAGTTATTGATAGTTTGGTATATGTAGTAAGCTATATAATACCATATTTGAGTTATACCTTAGGACTTGTTAGTAGATATCAAAGTAATCTAGGCATAGCTAATTGAAAAGTAGTAAAAAGAATTCTAAGGTACATTAAGGGAACAAAGCATCTAAAATTGTGTTTTCAAGCATATAAGCTTGAAGTTATAGGATATTTAGATGCATATTTTGCTGGGGATAAAGATGATAGTGAGTTCACCTCAGGACATGTTTTTCTCTTTGGAGGGGCAGTTGTTTCTTGGTCTAGCAAAAAACAAGGGTGTGTAGCTAGATACACACAGGAAGCAGAGTACATTGCATGTAGAACTACTTGTACTTTCGTTGTTTGGATGAAGCGCTTCATAGATGACTTGAAGCTGCAAATAATCGACGGACCGATCCAAAGCTTTTGTGATTATCAAGCTACAATTAAATTAATTCAAAGTGGAGTAAATAACTTCAAAGGAAGACATATAGATGTCCAATATCACTACATTCAGCATGTAGTTGAGAAATGTGAAGTAACTGTTAGGTACTTGCCCTCATCAGATATGATTGCTGATCCATTAACAAATGCTCTAAGTATTGAACTACTGTCTAAACACACCAGCTTAATGAGACTTAAAAATGTTTAAGTCAATTAGTTTTCATGAGTGTCAAATTCACATTAGCGTGAAAATCCACTCGATGGACATTTGCTATGAGAGCATATACGCGAAAGCGTAAGAAAAACCTTATGATAATATATATATTTTTAAATGTCATACTCAAAAGTGGGAGTATACATGTGACTTATTATTATGCTCAGTCATTATAGCCAAGTGGGAGATGTTGACACGTATGGCCATGACGCCCCATGTGATTTAGCCTACAATTGTGGGCTTGGTAGAATCTCATTATCCATAATTATCTCCAACGTTCATATGGCTCAATGTTCATACGAATGTGTTTCATGAATATCCTTGAGATTAATGAAGACTTTTTTTTAGAGACCCGTTAGATAAATAAAACCGTTAGCCCTTATTCTCCCTATAAACATGGGAAGTCAGAGAGAGGAAGACACAACAGGAAAAAGGTGTACAGTTCTTCTTTCTCTCTCTAAAAGTGAAGGAATCTAAAATCCGTCTGTGATCACCAGCCTCATGACATCCCTCCTCTCTGATTTCGGGTTAGGTCTCCTCCGCAACATCACTTTTTTTACTAACAGTTTCTCTCTCTAGGTTTTGTAAAATCAAGCTATCAAAGGTTCATAGTTAACATGTACATTTTTTCCCCTTATTTTGCTTTTTTTTTTTTTTTAATTATTCATGCAATTAGATGAAATAAGATCGTATAAGTTATGTTATTGCAGTAGTTGTGATGGCCATAAAATGACCACAAAACATTGTGTTTTGGTATTAAAATTACTCACATATCGTTTGTTATCTTTCTATCTCTGCTGCATACGTCTTCCTTACTTTCAATGAGGTACTTGTCTTTTTTTTTTTCCTTTATATTAATTTTTGTGACAATTTAGTTATCTTTGGTATCAATATTTGTGGTAATGTGGGCAAGGTTTGTATACTTCCCCTACAGCATCGAAGATCTATGCTTCCCCTACCATTCAGCCGTCCAATTTTGTTCAGGAGAGCCATTCATCGTTTGTTCAGGAGAGCCATTCACTGTTTGGTACGTGCTATCTTCTCATTGGGGCGCACTTATAAAAAATATTAAAAATATTTTTTCGATAAAATATAATGACCAAAATACCCCATGAAACTTTGATGGGTATTTTGGTCGTTTTATTTATTGAAAATATTTTTTTAATAATTTTCTCTAGTGAGAGTTTAATAGAGGATTGGAGTCCGAAATTTGGTGTTAAAATAGTTTATAGAAAAAAATAAAAAATAAAATAGTGTAGAGAAGTGACATTGTGATTGGGGCAATCTTAACCCTCCATTTAGAATGAAAGTTTTGATAAGGGGATGTATATAAGTTTTATGATATAGGGGAAGCAGAGAAAACTTGCCTTTTAGTTATTAGTGCTTTCTCCATGTAGCAAGATTCATTAGTTTCAATGTGATTCTCTACTGAAGAAAGGTTAGTACCTATTGTTCTACATAGAAATTTTCAATTGCAATATTTTTCAGGTATTATTTACCATTGGATGAAGCTTAACAAAGTCCATATTGAAGTCATAGTGATTCCTTTTATTTAGTTTTTTCCATCGTCTCTGTTCATCCTATTGAAGGTAAGTTGTAGTATTTTTTTTTGTTTGTATTAACTATGTTTGTATTTTTTTTACATGTTCTTCGCGTACATGATCTTACTTTGCAGATGTTTTGTTTGAAGTAAAAAATAATAAACAAAAATTACATTAAAATAATTTCAAATTTTTACTTTACTTCACAACTTTAATGAGTTTTTTCTCTCTCTCTCTCTCTCTCTCTCTATATATATATATATATATATATATATTATTATTATTATTATTATTTGTTTGCAATGAGAAACACATTAATCTTTAAAGTAAGTGAAATCTTGCTTTTTCCAATGTATGTAATTAGTTTTTAAAATATCATAAGCACATACTTTGAATTAATTTGTACATGATCTTATTTTTCGGATGTTCTGATCCCATAGTCTCAAAATCTAGTTCTACAAATCTCATTGGAATGAGAACAAAGGTTAGTACCTATTTTTCTACGTATAAATTTTCAATTACAATGTTTTCAGGTAGTATTTACCATTGGATGAGGCTTGACAAAGTCTATATTGAAGGTAAGTCATAGTGATTGTTTTTATTTAATTTTTTTTATTGTCTCTTCGTATTTTCTAGATGTGCATATTGAAGGTAAATCAATATTTCATTTTTTAAAATTTTTTTTTTAGTTACCTATGTTTGTATTTTTTTAGGTGTTCTTCCCATTTTGTCAAGATTGAGAAACACATTCATCTTTAAAAGTAAGAGAAACCTTGCTTTTTCCAAGGTACGTAATTATTTTTTTAAAATATCACAGACATCTGTTCTGAATTAATTTGTACACGATCCTTTTTTGATATTATTTTTCAGATGTTTAATTTTAATTTGTGTTTTCACTAGATAGTCGATGCTTTTCAATCACATACAAAGCAGTTGCTTCATATATATATATAATAGAAGCTAATCAAACTATAATTTAAAAATTAAAACATGACATTTAAAATATAGAGAGTTAAAATAAATGAAAAAATACAAGTAATATTAAAGGTAATAAAAATCTGAAGATTGGATATAATTTTTTTTTCAAGGCATTAGAAATAATTAAAAGTTGTATTGGAAAGCATAAAGAAATCTTGAGAATTAATTCACAAAAAAACAATCCTAAGATAGTTTAATCTTATTATTGATTTTTGTCATCTATATCTTGAGCAGCTTTAATCTCATTTCCTCTCCTATTTTAATGGATTCAAGAGCACCACTACCATGATACCTAAAACGTGTTGTTCTATATTTTAAAGATTTATGTCAGGTTATATAATCCAAAACGTACAACAAATCTAACCTTCTATTATTTGAACATAGAATTAGGAAATATAGTTAGAACTTAACACACTTTAGATGAGGGCAGAATGTCAGTCTCTCTTTTGGTTATTTGGATTTCTATAAAGCTTAAAGTCTATGGTTTATAAACATGATTAAGGGCCTACATAGATTGTTTAGTTTCATTTTTCTTATATGTTGTTTACCATGGTTTAATATTAGCAGATCCCTTCCATATAAAAATATTTAAAATTAAGAGTAGAGAAAAAGAGAATCTCTTAAAACCAAGATTTTAGGAAACCAAAGTTTTAGTAGGATTTGTTTTATGAAAAATGTTTATATAAAGATGCAACCTTATAAGGTAGAACTATGGATACCCCTCAAAAATCCATTGGAAAAGGTAGTTTTAATGTTGAAAAGCCGTATGATTGATCATATTGACATAGAGATGTATGACTATGAAAGATAAAAAGATTTTAAGTATAAAAAATAATGCATTTTACAACATGTTATCTACACCATCCATTTTCATGATTTTCATATGTTTATAGATCTATTTGATTTTAACTATTTTAAAATTAAAAATTTTATAATTAGATATAAAAATAAATTTTGAGATAATCCTAATAATATAAAATTTGAAGGTCCATCCTACCTCTACACCTACGGATGCATCTTTATGCCAACTGCCCGCTTGTTTTATAGAGATGATAAGTAGTTAAAAATTATATTTTTGTTCGGCAAGGAAGGACCCAAAATTCCACTTGGCAAGAACTGTTACTCTAAAACCTCTTTCACCGGATAGAAAGTACTCTTACTTCCTGCTCCTTCAGCGAGGAGTAAACTTACAAAGTGATCTGGCCCGACCACTCTGTGGTCCAATGTACGAAATGATATCGCCGGAGCACTCTGCGGTCCAATGTACAAAGTGATCTCGCCGGATCACTCTGTGGTCCAATGACCTACCATACGATTTGAGAAGCAAACTCAGAGCCCTCTCTCTGTTGTCTCTCATCAGCAACAAACTCAGAAACAGAGGAGCCCGAGGACCCAGAATGCACCCATTGCTAGACCAGGGAACGATGGCGTGAAAGAGCTTGATAAAACACCATCTCCCTCATGAATTACCGGAAAAACCCTAACCCTGAATCAGAGATCACTAGCATGAGAACGAAAATGGCTCATGCTTGAGAAAGTTCTAATCTTTGCCCTAGATGTCAATAGCGCAGCAGCTTGGACAAGTGGGAGCCGACTTATGAACCAGAAATAATCCTAATCCTCGACCAGAGCTAGAAATTCTTATCCCCTGGGCTGAGAATCATTGGCGAGAGAGCCTGAGAAAACCCTAACCCTAGTCAAGAGAGCCAGAGCTCCCTAAAGCAGCATCACTGAATAGTGGTGATAAGACCTCAAAAGCGGGGAGCTGTTTCATGAACCAGCAAGTAAAAACCCTAATCCTGGACCAGAGAGCAAGAAAGCCCAAACCAGTGAATAATTGCTAAGAGCCAAATAGGTCCCAATTGCTCTCTAGAAAATAGCACCAGGACTCTTAATCCCTACCATAGAACAATGGCTAAAGACCCTGAAAAACCAGCACCGTCTCCATGAACCAGCGCAAAGACCTAACCCTAAACCCTAAACCCTAAACCATCAACCACCATGGAAGGTGAAGAGGAGTCCTTTGCCATGCCCCCTACTCTCCTGAATTCAACCCCCTCCATTGCTGAAATTGTAGTTTTCAGAGATGAGGAAGACTCAGATGAAAAAGCTGACTGCCGAAGTGCAAGCTCAGGTGACTCAGATGCTGATCCCACTGACCATCGAGGACCTCGGCCCCTCTTCATAGACCCTGATCCCCATATCTCAACCCAATTTTACACCTTCAACAAAGAGTCCCATAACCTCATGGTTCACTGCATATTGGAGCAACGACTAGCGACACCAGAGGAGATCAAGAGAGCTACACCAAATTCGATACTCCTGTCATGGCGAGGAGTATGGAAAGATAGGAACGTAGACACCGCATATCTCACTGGTTGGAAGCGAATTCAAGAGAAGCTCAACGCACATATTGATGAAAATGGCAATGAGGTTTTGTATTTCAAGAATAATTCGCACCAATTTGTGTCTCATGTAGACCAGTGGCAAGACATAGTGATGGGTTTTCATGGAGACGCTGACCTTAAACACTTAGGGCTCAAGGAATCGGTGGAGCGTATAAAGCAGGTATGGACAGTGGGTGCAAAATTTTATGGAATTCCTGAGTCCTTTATTAGGGTTTGTGTTGCTTCTTGCCCTGTTTGCTCTGATGTGGGTTCTAGTGCTCCAAGAAATAAGAGGAGGAGGTTTGAGTATACAGAGTCTTTTGAGGTTCCTGCTAAAGAAGTGCCTGAAAGGCTTCAACAATTGGCAGCTAAGCACAAGGTGGTGCTTTGTATAAGGCAAAAGTATATAAGATATAAGCCTTTCATGGCTGAGGTTAAGGATTACGCTTGCCATAGGGCTGGAGAGCCCACTTCGAAGAGGTCGAGGATTGTGAAGCGTGAGCCATACGTTTCGAAGAGGTGTGGATGTGCGTTTCGAATACGAGCAATTGTACCCATTGCAAATTACAATGAGAAAGACAAGACCTTTGTGTACCAAGAAGAGGGAATGGCAATTTTCAAGCTCTATGCTGTGCATTCAGGGCATGAACCCGGTGCGCTTGATGGGAATGCGAGGATAATTCACAGGTTAGTTGGAGCGAAGGAGGGTGGGTTCACCATCATGGAACATGAGCCACCTATATATGGGGATTCAGACACTTTTGGGCTCATGGGTAAGGAGGAATCAGACTCCCAGCTTGCAATGTTGCAACAGGTTCAGGAGCTCAGGACTGAAATTGGGCTTTTGGAATCAAAGATCACGAAAATTCCCCATGAGCTATTGGCCTCTCTTTCTCAAGAGATTTCTTCTGTTATGAGTAGGCTTCGGAGTATGAGAGAGGTTTCTAGATCAGAGGGGTTATTGATTGGGAGACAGCATTCAGATGAGGTTCTTATTGGGGACCCAGGTCTTGGGCACTGGGGTGAACAACATATCCGCAGCGATGGAAAAGATGGTGAATTGATTGAGGAAGAAGATGATGCCTTTGAGCATAGCCTTGATGAGGTTGCTTCTTGGGATAGGCTGAAGGATGAATGCCGAGAGAGAAAGGATATAATCAGGGGGAATACTAAGACTGAGAAGTGGTTGGATTCGGTTAAGGAGGCTTGTGGAGAGTTTGATGAGAAGACCATATTGGATTGTGAGGATTCGAAGCTTATAAAGCCCATTAGGCATGATGGGACAATTGTAACAGATGCTAACCTTGTTGGTTTACCTGTAGTGGGGTTCTATGCTGATAATACCAAATGGTATGATTCACCATGTGGCCTGGATACGGGTACGGATTGTGGGGATGGGGGCTTCAGGCATGGCAGCATTGTGTAGTAGTAAGTGTCTTCTCTATTGCCCAAAGTGTTTTCGGGGTACCATTGAGGCACCTTGGCTTGTTTTGGGCGATTGGATGGTATGTTGTAAATTATGTACACATAGCAATTGCATAGTTGCTTGAGATTCTCTTGTACGTACTTCCTCAACAGTTCTTTGTTGGGCTATTTATACATGTGCTTTTCATTCTCTCGTAGCTACTTCCTCAACAGATAATACTGCAATTCTCATTAACGCATGTTTTTATTATCTTTGGAATTCAATATTTGTATATGTGGATGTGTATATTTGTATATTTATCTATGTGCGTGCGCCCATATGTACGTGTACACTGTTCAGCAGATGATGACATAAGTACGTGCATGTGCGTGCATTCTCATCTTGTGTAACATTTCCTTTTCTTCTCTTTCTTTTGCAGTTCTCATTTGCTTGTCATTTATCTCCATCTTTCTTTGATGATTAAATCATGCTTTTATTATCTTTGGAATGCAATATATGTATGCATGGATGTGTTTATTTGTGTAGGTAAGGTAACTATGTGCATGGATGCATATGTATTTTTACACTGTACACTAACACAATGACACAAGTACATGTGTGCTTGTATTCTCATCTTGTATAACATTTGTTTTCTTTTCTATCTTCCTTTTGCAATTCTCATGTCCCCATTATAGGGAACATTCTGATTTTTGACCATTTTGAATTTTTTGATGGCCCTTTGGTTGTGCATATGTTTAATTGGCTGCTAATATTTGCAAAAGACCTTTTTGATGTATGATTTGAGGTGTATGGTGTTTGAATGGAAAGACCTTTAGTTCCTCTACTCTAATAGTCATCCATATTGTGCTTTTTATGAATAAAGTTTGTTCTTAGCTTCCAAAAAGTGTGCATTAAGTTGTAATTTTGTAACCTTCAATATGTAGGCTCTCTACTCGCATACCAAATTCTTTCCATAATTCTCTTTGACATCATTTTGGTGCCTTTTTCAGTATAATGTCATATTCTTTGGGTTGTGTGAAGATTTTCAACTTTCCTCATGCTACCCCATTGGACTTCCTTGAACAAATGCCCTTGTGTTGGTGAACAAATTAAGCTTATTAGTATTGAATTGGTTATTTCTAGTTGTTGGAGATTTTAGTTTATGACATCACTGGAGCAAAGGATTTTGGAGTTCGCCATACTTTTGCGGTTTTTGTATCCTTGTGTGGGTCACAACCATAGAGAGCTAAGAAGTGGTGGAACAACAAATGTGGGTTTATTGGGGTTTCAAGTCCATTTATGAATTGTAAGGCTCTTGTTGCAACTTGAAGGCTTTTGTACTAATAACAGTTCAAGTGCGCAACATGTTAGACCATTGTTGTTGGAAACGCCTGAGATCCGAATCATTTTAGGAATCAGAATCGCGGAGTCATGGCTGGCTAGAAGATTCCTATTTTTGGAATCGACGTTCGTACAAAGGAATTGTAGGAAATGAGATTCTTGCTTTATAGGAAACAAGATTTGACGTAAATGGAATTGAGATCCCTACATATATGGAATCAAGATTCCCATCTCTTTGGACGGTAAAAACACAACATACCCATAGAATGAGTGTAGTTGAGATGAGGATGTTGAGATGGATGAGTGGCAAGGCAAGAAGGGATGAAATTCGAAATGAATACATTGAGAAGAATTTAGTTATGGCACTAATAGGCGATAAGATGAGAGAGTAGACTTAGGTGGGCTGGCAATGTGTGGTGCAGGCCCAGTACAACACCAATTAGGAGTACAACACCTATTAGGAGGTGCGAGTTAGTTCGAGTGGAACGCTAAGAAAGGGCAAGGGGTAGGCCTAAAGGGACATGTTTGAAAACAATGAGAACATATATGGGGATTTATGGCCTCACCGAGGGTATGGCTCTTAATAGAGCAGAATGACGGTTCAATTAGTTGGGAAAAAGCTTTGATGATGATGATGATAATTTTGTCAGTGCCATGGTGTTGTTTGTGTTGTATTATGTGCCTCTGATACCAAGGGTGAAGATGTGGAGTATACAATTTTTAATGTTGCAATGCCCAAGTTCTCTTAATGTTAATGCTCCAATGCCCAAGTTATACTTACCTTTAATACCTACAAAAGAAGTTATACTTGCCTTTATTACCTGCAAAAGACATCATAATGATACTTGTTAAGATCTTAACTATAAATGTTTGCATTTGAACGTTGATTCATGGGACCAATAATTCGACAATGCGTTCGTTGGATTCTTTTTTTTTTTTGACATGATGTTCGTTGTGGGGTCCACCATAGTTGTGGGGTCTTGGTCAAGGGGTCGCGATTCCGTCTTGGAATCTCGATCCAGCGATCATGGAGTCAGAGCCCAAATATGCGCTTCCTTCCATTAGGGATCTCGATCTGTACCTATTGGGATCTTGGTTCCCAACTTAAAGGGATCGCAATCATTTGCTGCAAAGGATTTTGATCCACTCCTCCAAATTGTCTACTTAATTGATGATTTTTATTATTTTTTGTTATTCCAAAGAGTATTATTTGATGGAATTATTTCATATATTTGCTTTTTTCTCTTCATATTTGTTTAAAATCTGTAATTTATAATAAACATCTTTCCTTGAATTTTGTAATACCCTTTGTGTCATTTCATGCATTTGTGGTGTCTATTTAAGTGATTAACCTTTTTTTTATTTATCTTATTTGAAAGAGTATGAAAATGATTTCTTTTATTGATTTATTTATTCTCTTAATTTTCATTTAAAATTTTTGTTCATAGTAGAAAATCTTTTCTTGGAATTTGTAATGCACTCTTTGTCTTTCATTTCTTGAATAATTAGTTTAATTTTATTTCATGTATTTATTTTATCTCACTTCAAATCTTCCTAAAATATTTTCCTTGATTTTTGATTATTACGATTTTCATACATTAAATTTTTAACACAAAATGCCTTGTATAAATTCTTTTATGTATAATAGGAAATTTATTTTGGATTTTGCAATTTTCTTTTTTTTGTAGACTCTAAGTGTACTCTTATGCGTATGTTGATAATGCTAAAAGATTGTTTGTTCATTCTTTTATTTTTGAAATATCACTTCTGAAAAAATCGATAGGACACATTTGTAAGTATACACGCACACCTACATTTATGATTTATCATTCAGGCAATTCATCATCATTCAGGCAATTGCAATAATATATATGGTAAGAATTGAGAGTACTACATATATATATAGACAGATGTATGCATATACATATACATGTATTGGGCGCCCCCCTTGCTCTCCCATATATATATAGTGCATATATAGGTGATCGCTCCCTGAGCAGCGCTCCCAGTCCCTCTAAGGGTAGGGAGGTTCAGCCAAGGGTCGATCCCAGGCTCCCACTCCCAACAATTATGATCTCCACCCCACAGTTTCTCATGCTCACATGGGACCCTTGAGCAGCAATCCTATTGTGTTTCTTTTTTTGCTTTTTTTGAAACTAGTAGCATTTGTATTGAAAAAGAGTAAACCAAGTACGAAGGTATTTTGGCATCCCACAGACTGAGTGCTCTACTCCAAAAAGCCCACAACAACCAAAAATGGAGGGTGCCCCAAAATATTCTATACAACATGGTTATAAACAAAGAACTAAATGCAGCAAAGGAGGAAGAAAAGGGAGACCAGGGGACAAAAAGGTACCATGAAGGTCCCTTGCATGCCATCCCATGTAGCTCCTTCCTTAGCGAGGGTGTCGGCTTCTTAATTGGCCTTGCATTAGGTATATCTCCATAAGATGTGCATAGCCCTGCAAATATGGAATACCTTGTCAAATATGGAATACCTTGTCAATATATATTCGAGTCTCCAAGGGAAAAGGGCAAGTTGAGGATCTTGAGGCCCGGACTATAACGTTTTTGGAGTCCCCTCAATAATCAGAACTGTGCTCCAATTCGTGTTGAACTTCCTGAGACCTTCCAGGAGGGCGAGAGCTTATGCCAAAGTTGAATCAGCATGCCCAATGGATTAAGAGAAGGAAAAAGGGTGTGGCCAGCTGAGTCTCTAAAAATGCCCCTTATTCCTCCTGGGCCCAGATTTCCCAATGAACAACCATCGTAGTTGAGCTTGGATTGGCCAGGCTCAGGTGGTCTCCTAAGGGAGGCACAGGGAATTTTGGTGGGCCTCAAGTTCAGCATGGCTTGCCAGCCGTGATGAAAATCTGCGTGGGGAAAGTGCTTAAAAGAGTTGTGGTTACTAGCCCAGAAGATTAACCAATGTTTTAACCCTGTCTTGCAAGGCATTGGTGGTGGTCTTGACATCGCATCGGTGGTGGCCTTGACTCCAGTTGGGCTATGATTGTGCTTACCAAAGGAACATAAGACTAGGGTTGACAAACAAGCATCCACCAAACTTCAGTTCATAATGAGTACGAGTATCCTTTGTTTGATGGATGCTTGTAACAAGTAGGGATATTTTATACTCATGTTTGGGAGTAGACATGCCGCTAAGTGATATCAAGGCCAAGTAGGACTTAAAGGAGAAGATCCTATGTTTAGACCGGTGTATCCATAGTTTCCCTCAAACAAAGGCGTCATCTAGGCTTAGCCAACTTTGACTAAATTTCTTGGTCTTCTCATATTACCCATACTAAAGGATGGACCCTGCTCCACTTTGCCCCTCAATGTCTTAAAGGAGACATGCAATTGAATCTTGGCCATCCACTGATGGGAGACACTAGTGTGTCAGAGACTCCTCGCACCAAATATCTCTTTAATAACTTTTCCTCTTGCCAGTTCTCATCTTGCATCTGAATCTCTTTTATCTCACTGTGTCTTCTTTTGCTCCATCAGACACCTAGCACTTTATTGTACCTCCCTAACTCATTGGCTCTCTAGCCGCTCTGGTCAAGAGCTTAAGACTGCATTAGTATTATCCTGTGAAACTTATTTAACAGGGGCATCTTACATTACTTCATTTTTCTAATGCCTGAACTACCCACCTTCTTTGACGACCAGAGGAGAACCTAGAGAAATTGAAATTTGCACCCTTAGCTAGTCTCTTTGTGTGTAATCCTTGGGAATCTTTCCAGTTTCATACTAGCATAAGGAATGAAATAGGCATGAAGATTGGAGACTGTATGCATCCTTCAGGAGTATGATATTTTCGTTCATAATCATCGTCATTATCATCCAATCCTTATCCCAACTATTCGGAGTCAGCTTAGTGTGATCTCTCTCTCTCTCTCTCTCTCTCTCTCTCTCTCTCTTTAATCTCCAAATGGGATTGGAATGGCA